AGGGGCTGACAGCGGTTTTGCAAAGTTTACAAATTGTAAAAATAAAGAAAGAAAACCTTTAACATTTTTTACAGGTTTTTTTTTTTTGGGTGGGGGGGGGTGCCAAGCACAGGATCCGCCCCGGGTGCCAAATGCTCTAGGTACGCCCCTGCTGATTGACACTCCGGTCTCTAAACACTTAAAATTGCATCATGGTGGTTCACCAGATGGCATCAGATTCTGTGGCATAGAGAGGGTTACACTGGGACCAAGGGGTGGGGATCTAGATAAAGAAACTTCTACAAAGAGAGAGTTTCTGGAGTGTCTTTGTCTTATCGTCTCTGTTTTTTCTTGTGAATTAAGAACAGCAGAGGGAGTGAGGTTAGGGGAAGTATTGTAAGGGGAAGAAGAAAGGGGAGGGAGGGAATCAGCAGTATTGGGGCTTGAAAGTTTTGAAATCAGGTTGTTGAATAAAGATATGTGAGGGTCATATAGGCTTGCAATAAAGCTGAGGGAGGGGGATATGTTTCTAGGCACAGAGATGAAGGGATGGTTATTCAAATAAAAACAAACATATCAATAAAAGAAGGGGAGGGGTCAGAGGCCAGTCAGAAATCAGAGGGGAAATAGAGGAATGCATATAGGTGAATAAAACAATTACATACCGGGCTAGGAAAACTACACTTTAGCATAACAGACAAGATATAAATACAAGAAAATATACAATGCACACAGGATATGTAAAATAAAATAAAAGTACAGGGTAGTTAAATTAAATATAAATGATGCTGTGCAGGATAGAGTCTTAGTGTGGTCTTCCAGAAGGCTACTTTTAATATTGCAGATGATCTGCTGATGGACCACTAACTTTCTTACAGCAGTATTGGGGATTGATCGTTTTGAAATCAGCCTTGCTTATTGTTAACTTATGGATTAACTTGACACCCTCGATTGCCGGTCTCATAAGAGCTAATTTTATACCACTTCTGACAGAAATTAAAGAGGATTTTGTTAGATGGAATTTACCACAATTTTCAATACACGGACATATTAATATTATAAAGATGATGGTCCTCCTGAAAATATTATATTTGTTTCAGACAGTACCCATCTCCTTGCCACAGTCAATATTTATAAATTTAGAAAACAAATTGTATCCCTTATTTGAACTAATAAACATCCCATTTTGGCCTATCAAATTTTAACAAGTCATAGAGCTAAAGGTGGACTTTCATCACCCAATTTATATAATTATTATGCGGCAGGATTACTTACTAAATTGAGAGACTGGACTAATATGGGAGTGCAACGATCTTGGTACACTTTAGAGCAATGTTTTACAAATGATCCTTTATATAATCTTCTATGGCTAAGTTGCTCTATTAATAGACTTAACTCC